AGGGAAAGAAAGAAAGAGAAAACCAATGGTGTGGAGGAGAGGAAGATGCCGAGAGAGGGAGATAGAAATATGGGGAAAAGAAGTAAGCATGTTGGGGGTTGATTCAATTGGCAAAGCAAGAGCAACTTGGGGAGATTAGAGGTGGCAATAAACACCAAAGGTGGTAAAAAAAATTGTTGTGCAATTAGTTTATAATCAATGCTTAATAAATTTTGAATCAAATTAAGAAATTAGGGGAACTACTAACTGGTATACTCTAAGCTCCTTTGCTGCATGACGTCCTTGGTTGTTAGCTACTGTAGTTAAGGAATTTGTAGATGATTTGTTTATTTCCTGGGAGTATGAATCTTAATTGCGAAGTTACTAAAGGAATTAGAAAAGTAAGTCCACATTGAACTTGCTATCTTGTGTTGCCTAATTATCATGTTTTATGGTCATCTCTGTCCAAGTTTGATTGGTGTTAACTATCATACTTTAGGGTTAATTCTTCATTCTTATGATTGTTAATTGGGTTTACTGACTTTGCAGAGAACTTGATTACACTAGACTTGTCATTCTCTTTTTTTTTTTCCGAAATAGCAGAAAAAAATTCAGATTTGGGACCGTCTGTTGACAGGCCTCTTTCTCCTAGCTCTTAAAGTCTTTTCTAGAATTTCTTTTCATCAGTATCTTCTACATTCAGTGTACTTTGCTGTGGTTTTTACGGATTTCAAAATGGATTTGTTGATTAGCCAAAATCTTGATTTGAACATGACAAGCATTTCCTGAAAATCTGTGCTGAGCTGCTGTTTTCGGGGAATTGTTTCTCCTGCTTCCTGAACTGTTTTACAAGAATTCTTTTGTTAAATCTCTTCTATGTTTATGGTAGTTTATTGTAGATTTTTCGGATTGTAAATTGGAGCTATGGATTTCCCGAAAAAGGGATTCGAACTTGATAAACCAAATCTGAAATTTCTATAACAAACTGATTTGAAGTACTGTTTTGCAGACCAATTTTCTCCCGAGTCCTGAACTGTTTGACCTGATTTCTTCAGTCAAAACTCTTCCTTGTTTACCCTAGTTTAACATGGTTTTGACGGCTCGTAAATCGGATCTTTGGTTTGATCAAAAACATACTTTTAATATGAACTTTGATCTCCAGGTTGCTGAATTTTCAGAATTTGAAAAGAATTAGAGGTTACTTTGGAGCTTTTGTTTTCCTTGAACAAATATCATTTCCTCACCTGATTTTCATCTTTGTAAACCTTGGCTGAACCAAGTGTTCAGTAGAACGTGCAGATTGGAATAACATTTAATACTTAGGAAACACCTATGGAGCTTTATGATTAGAATATGGCATTTTCCAAATTTTGTATGTTTTGTTTATTCTGAATATTTTGAATGTAGTTGCTACTTTCCGACGTGACATGAATTCATTCTTAGGAAGGTCTAATGAGGAGTTAGCAACATGTAATAAGGATTAGAACTAGACAGTACATACTAGTATTACTTACTCCTCCACTTGGCTTTGGGCAGTGATGCTAAAAATGCTTGTTTGATTAACAGATACTCATGAAAGCATCATTGAACTCAATAAGCCGGTACAAGTGAGTACCTCCTCTCACGCTCTATATCGTAACCTCGTCTCCCCCTCTCAGTGCATGAGTGCCCAGTGTTGTTTTGTGACCTTGTTCTCTTGTTCTTTTTTGTTCTTTAATTGAACTCCAAGTTTTGTGCTAGTACTTGAACCTTATGATATGAGGACGTGAGATATTATTTGTGTGTGCACTAAACTTGCTTTCCCATATTGAATGGAATTGATTGTCCTTATTGATCGGTTGTGTACTTTATCACACCGAGATGTCTTACTGTCATGATTTGTAAATGAATATTTGTGCATGAATTGCCATGAAATTGTTAAGACTTGGATGTGTACATTATCACACCAGTCTTGGGGCCCCGCTACCATAGATCGAATCCAACAGGTCGGCATTGGGCACAGACGTATGGATAGACAATGGATAGCTTTACAAATCTAAATATCGCTCTCCCACGTCTTCACCCACGAAAACTGTGGTGGGGAAATTACCCATGAAACACATGCTTGATAGGAGAATTACCCACGAAGCGTTGACCGATCGTGGGAGAACCATTACCCACGGTCTATTCTCCCATGAGAAAATTTTCGTGGGGACAACCGTGGGTAAGTGTGTTACCCACGGCCGTTTAGTTCATTTTCCCACGACTCACCTTCCGTGGGTATTGGCCTGATTTTTTTGTAGTGAAGGTATCTACTCCAAATGTAGTAAAATTAAAGTTAAACCATGCTAATTAATTATGTAACAAACAAAAAAAATTGTAACACATTAGGGACACTTGCTAGACAAAATCTTCTCACAAATAACTTCGTTGATCAAAGTCAGTCAAAAGACACAAGAAAATATAAAGTAACGTATTGCCATTATAGTATGAGAGAAACAAGATTAATATAACTATTTTTTTAAATACTAGTAACATAATAGTAAAATATGGAATGATTGTCATTCCTATTGTAAGATTCAAAAGAATGTGCATGACGAAATGCAGTACTTAAAATCAACGACGGTTGACCCTCAAAACTTCTATTCCAAACTTCCTTTGCTATACCTATATCGTTTAAAAAATAAATAATCGATACGAAAGATAGTAAAATATTTAATCCACAATAGAGGCAAATTCAATGTTTAAAGGTTTTGATGGACAAATATAAGGGCATGATTTTACCTAATGCCTAAATTTGCTTCTCTCATTACCATGATCTTAAACATTCCAATGAAGTCTATCAAACCAATATATTGCTTCAATAATTAATGGCAGCACATTTATGTAAAAATTATTACCACTAATTCAGATTCTTGTTGTCATACTCACAAGTTAATCCTCGAGACCAACTCTAAGATAAATATACTACTCTCATGTTCGAATAAAACAATTCATATTAAGTTTTGTAATTTGTATTATTTTTTCAGTAGATTTTTTTTTCTTTTTTTTTTTTTAGCAAAAAGAGGATAAGAAGACGTTCAGGTTCCGACTAACTCAAAAAACACTCAAGGGATATACCCAAGAGATGAATTTTCCGAATTAGGCAGTGCTAGATGACACAATGCACCCATTATGTATCATCCAGTTCCCTAGAGTCTTCCCTCCTAAATTTTATTAATTTGAGAAAAAAGCCGGCAGTGCATAAGACTTACCTGCTATACATCAAACACAACGGGTTCTAATATATGGAAAGGACAATTGATCAAGTATCAATAATCCTTTTACACCTCGTGGCAAGGACTCTAGACTAGAGTAAAGTCCTGAGGAACCATTAGATCCATATTTTGCTAATCTATCTGCAACCGAATTAGCCTCCCTATATATATGCAAAACCTTATAATTATTCTTCTGAATAATGAAAATCATCTCATGCAAGATAGAGTAATAACTCCACAAGCAGCCCTTTTCCGACTTCAATATATCAGCTAAGGTCTTGTTATCTGTCTGAAGCGTGACATTGCTAAGTCCAAGCAAATCACACTTCCTTAGCCCGAATAGAGCTCCCATAACTTCTGCCTTGAAACTGTCACCATCTCCTAAATATCCACTTTCCCCATACAAAAGAACTCCACCCTCCTTGCGGATGACAAAGCCATAACCAGCGTCATTCAATCGTGACGATCCATCCGTACTCAGAATGAAGGAATTTGCCTCCGGCGGTATCCAAGCTATTTTCCAAACCTTTGCATGATCAACTCGGTTTAAGCATATTCCAAGCGTTGCTTTGAAGAATTCCCTCTCATTATCATCTTGAACTTTCAGATTATGGATCATCAAAATGGAGTGAGTATGATCCATAATGGCATGAATAACACACTGGACATTAAATCGGGCTCCTTCATAAATCACCTTATTGCGCATCTTCCAAATTTCCAAAAGTATAAGTGAAGGGAGAACCTTGCGAAAAGCCCCTCGAGCTGTTTTGATATTTCCTGCTCGCCACCATAGTCGTAGCATAGAAACAAGAGAACTAACACCCCGGGTATTAAGCCGAAGCAAACTCTCAAAATGCAGCCATAACTCTCGGATTTTCTGGCATCCAAAGAAAGTGTGTTCAATCCCGTCATCATGAGCCAAACAGAGGCAGCAAATTGAAGGCAAAATTTGTATTCCAACTTTGCTTAAGATCTCAGGGAACGGCAGCAAATGGTTCCTTAATTTCCACAGAAAAATAGATACCTTCGTTGGAACAAGCGAGTTCCACACATTTTTCATGAAACTCTCCTCCGGACACCTACGCCGCAACACTTCGTAAGCCGACTTGACTGTGAAGGTTCCACTAGTTGTTCTCTGCCAAAAAAACAAATCATCTTCATTCTGAAAATCACAAAAAAATTCAGAAAGGTAGCAAAATATATGCTGCGGCAGAAACTCATGCATTATGCTCAGATAGAATTGTTTATCCTGGAAGAACTCTTTAATCTGATTGCAGAATTGCGCGACAGCCTTTATGGGATAATCTGATTGCATTTCGTCAAAAAATTCCGAATTCTCCATGGCTGGTTGCTGGAGATTTTAATGTAATTCGGTCATTGGAAGAGTATTCAGGGGTCTCTGTACAAGATCATGTGGCTATCTCTGAATTTAATGATTGTATTTTTGAATGCAATCTTCTTGAGCTTCCAACAACGGGTGAAGAGTTTACTTGGGGCGGGGCTAGAAGTACCGGATGGGTGAGCAAAAAATATAATATATTATTGAACTAATATAATACATTTCTAGAACGAAACAGAAACCAAAAGACAATAATATATTATTGAAAACAGAATCAAATAGGCTATGAGGATTTAATGATAACAGAACAAGATGATCACCTTAAACTCTATTCATGAGAATAGAAACCCGCAAGATTAAACTTGCATTCTATAAATCAACATTTAAAGCTTCCACATTAGCCCGGAATGCTCCTCATCCTGAAATAGTGAAATTAGTGAGAACTACCTGGAATGCGCCTCATCCTGAAATAGTGAAATTAGTGAGAACTATGAAGTTTTATCGTTTTGAGATCTTAGACCATTCAAGATATAAGGAGAAAACTTTAATCAAGTGTTGTAAATTAATCTAAAAATAGTCAGGAAACAATTTTGAAAGAAATTTAATAAGAGAAAGCTACCAATCAGATTCATTAACAATAAAAAAAACGAAAAGAAAAAGAAAGAACCGTTAAGATTACTTTCATCAAGGGTTTGTCTTCTCGCCTTTCACTGGTGATTTCATTGGATAATAACAGTAAAAAATCCTCTGTAATTCTTTTTCCCGGAACGGTTGTAGGTCCCTACAACTTAAATGTTTACAATCAATTCTTTTTTCCGAAATGGTTGTAGGTCCATGTAACTGGATGTTTACAATCAATAAGATACTAAGAATGTCATAATAGTTATCGTGGTGATAAATTAATCGGGAGCGATCTTATATTATGTTCATTTTCTTTAATTTTTTTTTGGGTACAAAACTAAATTGATATCAAAGAATGTCATAATAACTACTGTGGTGATAAATTTTTCGTTCATAAAAGAAGTTAATTTGATCTCAAACGTCTTAATAGATGTCTATCCTTACAATATTTCTGAAGTGTCCTAATAGAAGTGCTCGTTTTCCGAAATTGACTTTATATAAGTGCGATGAAAACCTGTTTTTCTTGTAGTGATTGCTATGAGGCCACAATCTCCCCTTTAAAATCTGCACTGAAGGATAATGGAACTAGACAATATTTGAGTTCTTCCTTCTTATGGTTGGGATTTCTTTTTTATATCATTCTCCGCAGACGGGAAAGTCCACGCGAAGATAACTTGTAAATTAACAAAGTGAATTACTATATACTCCCTCTATTCCCAAAAAATTAGTATAATTTGAAAAATTAAAATCTAAAAATTGGATGTCCTAATCTTTTTAAATCGAGAATTAATATAAAAAAAAATTGAATAGAGCATTTATATCTATTTGTCAAATTATTAAACAATTTCAGATCTTATAAATCTTACAAGCTCCAATTCCAAGATTTTAGATATCTATATTAGACTTTTTTTTTTGGATAGAGGGAGAAATAAATTTTATTGGTTACACTTGGGAACAAAATAAAATAATCAATAAAAATAATAAGTTAACAACACCTTAAGAATAGTTTGAAGGAGGCCAGACGGTGAAGACCAAAGATGAAGGGCAACAACCCTTAGCCCTTATCCCTTAGCCTAGCCCTTAGTTTGAAGGAGGTCATCCATGTCTCTATCGTATAATGTTAGTGTGTTTTACTTTATTAATTTTGTGATGCGATATCTTAGATCCGTGTTTAGATAAATTGTGTAGTTAGGATTTTGAAGTAACCATTGAATCTTTACGTTTGATATGAGATTATTAGATTTTCTATTCATTAATAATTGTTATTTTTGGTGTTTATCCTTGTGAATATTTTGTCAATATTTGCATGCCTAAGGTATTAATTGATGGAGCAAGAGTTGAAAATTAAAATTAGTTCGTGAAAATAGTAAACTGAGTGTGCTATGGGAGTAAGACCTTTGCAACATAAGAATCCTTTAATTTCAATGTACCTATGTTAATTCCTGTAGTCATGATATTTGTCATAGATTTGATATAGGTAAGAAGATTGTAACAAAAGAGACCAAACAATCATACAATTCTTTCAGGCGATCTAAGAAAGCAGACATAGAGAGATCACCCTTTTCACAATGATAAAATTCCTGACGAAGATGAACAATTCTAGACTCAATATGATCAACAATTCCAGACTCAACATGATCACGAAAAATCTTTTCAATCTTTTGCCAAACAGATTGAGCAGTAAGAGAAGTACCCGGAGGGATAATATTACGCAGAATCTCACGAGAGAGAGTGGCTTGAATCCAAGAGAGGATGAGACAATCAATCTGAACCCATTGAGCATAGTCAGGATCACCAAGTGGAGGACAAGGAGTTGTACCATCAACAAAGCCAAAAACTTGATGCGCTTTAAGAACCGGAATGAAAAGTTCTCGCCAAATTAAGTAGTTGGAAAAATCAAGAATCTCGTAGACGTGATTCTTGATGTATTTGAGTGAGAAGGCTGGATGGCGTGGAGCAGGAGAGGACGCATCAGAAAGAGCAGCAGTGATGCGGGACGAAGTTGGAGTCTTCGGATCATTAGTCACATCATCACCTTCGCCGTTTGCCATGGAAGAAGAAGAAGAAGGTGCAACAGCAACGGATCAGAGGGAGGTGCAGCAGCAACAATACGGCTACAGGGAGAAAGATGGGATGTCAAGAGAGGTTGCGTTGTTTGACCGGTAAAAGCAGCAACAACAACCAACAACGAACCAGCAACAGCAACAACGATGAGAAGCTGCGGCAGTGAACAGCGGCAGCAAACAAACCAGGAAGTTGCAGCAGCAGAGTCGGCGGAAGCAGCAAACGAACAACGAACAAAATTGAAGTTGCCGAAAGAACTTGCAGCAGCAGCCGCGCAAGAAGTACGATCGCCAAAGAAAACCTGGCAGCAAAGGAGATCGAAGATGCGGCAGCGGCAGAGAAAAGAGAAGGAAAGAAAACCCTAAAAAAAATATGACGGCCCCAGAAAGAGGCTCGATACCATATAGAAGTCCATGGGGTTCCACCTCAAAACCAGTTGGCAATGAGAGGAGTAGCCCAGATACTTATATATTGATATCAACTCTCTCCCACCACCGATGTGGGATACTCACCAAAGAGTACATTATTTTTAATCTTGAGAATCGTTGAGAGTTTAGTAGAACTAAAATTCAACTATTGATGATTAAAACGTGTAAAGTAATTTAATTAGTGAAATCAATTTCGTTGTTTGTGTTTGTGTGTTTATTGTGCAATTTGGTGTCAATTTACTTGTATCTAAGTTTAATAAATTTCACGATGATTTGTTTATCTATCGAATAGAGTAAATTTGATATTTTGGTATTTTGACCTTTCTCTATCTGTGGTCGACCTTATTCCACCTTGCTACGGTTATTTGTTTGGAATAAGTTAAGTTTATTTGATTAGCTTGATGACGGTTCATTATTTTGGATATTTTTAAGCGCATACATAACTGCTTTGGATTTTCAGATTACTAGTTGTATTATATGAGGCTTGGAGTTATGTCTTTGACGGGCTGACTCTTAACCATACATAAATCCATGGGTATCCAACTCAAAACTAATTGCCAATAAGGGGATTTGTGGATAGCACTTTTACGTTGACATCATTTCTCTCCCAATGGCGATGTGGCATTTGCAATATCCATCTATGGTTTTCTAATGTGACAAAATTTTGTGAAATTATTGTGAGTACGGCTATTTGGGTGAAGGGAGTAGTTTGAGCTGAAATCGATGGAGTTTCTTTTTGGTTTATGAAAATGTAAGAATCAAAATTTGCATTAATTTTTAATCCATACTGATAACATAGTAATAGTTGAAATGTTAAATAATAAAAGGTATTTTTCGTTTGAGGTATCTTCTTGAGATAATAGAAATACAATTGATACTAAAGGAAGGATGATACACTACTGTTCATATAGTCAGGGAATCAATTGCTATAGTCAGGGAATCAATTGCAATTGTACATATTTTATCCCATTTTATTGATCAGAGAACTATTAAAGCAAACAAAATAATACTGATTGTATTTTAAAATGGCCCGTGGGATCCGTAATCCCCTCAGAACATAAAGAATTCATGTTTTGAATATACTTGCTTACGTTTGTCTATTGTACGTATTTAAGCATTGAAATGTGGTATTATGGTTAATACAAAAGAAATAAAATAAAATAAATCTTTAACAATATTGGACATAGTTATATAGATATCCTTGTAAATTTTATTATTTTGATACTTGAATCGTGTAAAAGTATCAAATACTATTACACAATTTCGTGTTTACAATACGATAGATATATATTTTATCAAGCACCAACTCATACTCGGTACTTATTATTTTACTTTTTATATTGCAGTTTTAAACTCGGACCTTATTTTCCATAACCGCTAGGGTGTTTAGACTTTAGACTTGAGTGTTTATTAAATAGAGCCATTACCATATAGTTTGGTAAACTCCGTCTATATCACATTACATTATGGTACAGTACGATCCTGATCCTTGAGGGGCTGACAATTCACGCAAACACTGGATTGACAAAATCAAACAAACCAAGGTAGTAAAATAACCAACTTTCCAATAATATTACAACTAATTAACTTGGGGGAAAATGAAAAGATTTATAGTACAAGTATGAGGTGTTTAAGGCAAATAAAGCACTTACAGAGCCTGAGATAACCCTTTCGTTGATCTTGGTGTTCCAAGCATTAATTCTACTTAGGCGAGAATCCAGAGTTCCAGCAATTGGGCTCAAAGTAATTGGAACGGGTGGGATCAGATTCCTCAATAAACTCTCAAAGTATGCCTTGGCCTCCATTATTTTTTGTTCTCCACTAAGAAAATCTAATGCCATGTGTCTTCTAATAATCAACTTTAGAATTATCTGAGATCACAAATCCACATATATTTAGAAGTAAAATTTCAGAAACATATGAACACATTACCATTTTTTTAAACAAAAAAAAAAATCAAATAAAAAAATCCACTCCAGTGAACGCACTTAAATGTAAGAAAAACTTCGTTGGTGGGAGTTGAGCATGGATCTACTTTAGAAAGTTTTTATTTAAGCATGGATCTACTTTAGAAATTTTTCACCCAAACTACTAGGCTGTTATTCAATTCCCTATGAACACATTACTATTCTTAGCAATCCAAAATTAAAAAACGAATAATGGGAAAAAGAAAATAAAATATGAGTAAACTTTAAGTATACACAAGTGCACACAATACGATGAAATTTCCAAACAATAAAAGTCTACCAGGTATTGTGAACACTCCACGAAAAAAAGTATATTATGATATGACTTCATCATCATTATGAGATTCTAAATCTCTTATTTGTTATCACAGTTTACCACTAAAAATGTGATTCTAGGTTAGGTGGTACCATACGAATCTAATTTTTTAGACATGTCCACCATATTCAGGGGGAGGACAAAGAATGACTCTTCATGTAGGTCTTTGGTTGCACCTTTCTTCATTTCATTTACGAACATGGTGGGCCCATCTGGGTTTGGATAAATCACCAAATATCAACTAATTGGTACTAGCATATATTATAATGTGTGACACTGTGCAAGAGAAAAGTTAATTTGAAATGTATGATGCCTTTGACAAACAAATTTTCTTTATCTAATTTTTTTTCTCACTTGTACTTATTTTTAAAAACTAAGTAAACTACCATATTGAGATAGATAACATCATGGACCTGAAAAATTAAACGGGAACTTATGATTTTCTTTCTTTATCTGGATAAGACTTTGGTACTGCTTGCATCAGAGGTTTTTCAAGGAAAAAATTTACAGAGTCGACTCATTGGGTAAAAGCAAATGGCCTTACAAGGGTCTGGAGCTCTAAATGTCTAACGATGTATCTATAAATTTCTTAGATCTCTAAAAGGTACTCCATCCCTCAGTGGGCCTCTAGTGGAACTATTATTGTGAAAGCATTAAAAAATGAGATTGTTATTAAAAACACCATGCGGGTATTTTCAGAAATCGAGGATCATCTGAAACTACATAGCATACTTATATGCAGAGTTGGATAACTACAAAAAATTATATGAAAACCTTCTAAATATCATGTAGAAAAACTAAAGTTTAGGAAAAACGTACATCTTAAGCAGCAAACTATTCTCTTTTGTTTCTAAAAGCTTGTATCATGAAAACTTTATGCAAGGGTGTTATTTATAGGATATAAACCCTAATAGAATTACAACATTATTAAGTAACTTGCCTAACATGGCATCAATTGGTATTGCCTCGCTGACAAGGTATTGTAGTTTTACCATCTTTTGGAAGTAAATTGAATAAATTTTTATGGTAGATACATTCGCCAAACATAACTGCAATTTACAACCTAGGACCCAAATATAAAAGTTTTGTTGACCCAGATATTTTCCTACCAAACTGGAAAATGCAATAAACTTTTATTTCATTATTGCATTTATTATTTTGAGTAATGATACACAACTCATCTAATTCATCTCACCATCGTATCTCACCATCGTACATGGCCTTTAATTATTCGGTGAAATTTAATAAGTGAATTTAATTATTTTTTAGTAAATATATAGACTTTTTAGATGTTTTTAAATTTAAAATTTTAAAATAAATAGACACGAACCCCAAAAAAATAAACCCTTAAGGGAAAAATTATAATAACACAAATAATTTATCATTTGGACAAATATTGATAATAAATATAATATTTAAATTGAGTTATTTAGATGTGGTGTAGGAAGTGGTGTACCAAATGCAAGAAATTTATTGTCTAATAACTAAATGACATGTGAGGTGAGATGCAAATGTGAGATGAATTTGGTAAGATGAATATATCATTTCCATGTTATTTTATACACAATTCCTATCTTTCATAGATATAAATAACATAACCTAATTTGTTCAATTATAAATTAAAGATATTAAATTTACTCAATATGTCAGGTGTGTGCATGGTAAGTAAAGGGATCCATAATAAAATTACCAAGCAAATTCAGGTTGTCAATAGACGGATTTCACATTTCTAAGAAATTATGAGAGCAGCTTGCTGCACTTTTTTTTCCCCAAAAGAGATGAAAAAAGTGATATGATGATGTATAACTTTAGAAAGATTGATTTCTTAACAACCACACGTCTAGAGATCATGACACATGTAAGACTTAAAATCACGGTCGTTTATTTTTTTAGATAAATCTAAGACGATACCTGGCGGGCAATACCCGATTTTATTAATTAAAAAAAAAAGTACACAGAGCAGTGCTTAAGACTTACTAATAGAAAAGAGATTGTCTTATAAAAATTTCTAAAAAAATTTCTTGACAGCACTGGTTAAAACAAACTAAATTATGAACTGTCTTACAAAATATTGCAATAATGTTTTGACACTTCAGTAATGAAAGATGAAAGCAATTATCTAAGAACCGCCTACAAAAGTTTTTCTAAAAAAACCCCTGACAATTAGTTTATCCTAGTCTAAAATTATTTACATTACCCTCACAAACAATCACGGTCATTATCCTTGAATGCACGTCCATTTTCCTATATGAAACACTAGTTTACAAACAAAGTCAAATAACCTCGTAGGGTTAAGAAACAAAGAGATATCTCAAACGTTTGATAGGAATCAATATTATTAATTACGGGTCTATCAAAATTTCTTCCCATTTTGTTAACCATGAACTTGTTTTTCCACGGATTTTATGTATTTCAAGTCTCACCTTTTTTTCAATCAGGGAGGCATGGAGGTACGCTGTGTTAGCATCCCTGTCCCTTAGCCATTTTTGCCTTGAACGCTGCTGGAAGAAATCTTCTTGCTCCCTTAATTTAAGAAGAAGATGAGCATGCGATTTGTGAAGTGCAATCCTATCTTTCCTCATTCCCCGTTTGATCATAAGCGTCTTCCTTGATCTGAACTTCCTCTTCTGCCTCTTTCAAATTCTGAAAAACATTCCCGAAGTCAATTTTGTTCCATTCTTTAAGTCGCGCCTTTAATCTTCTGAGTTTCATTGAAAACTTAGCAATTCCCACCACGTATATTGGGTTGATCCCAGCTTTCCTCATTACAACAAAAAT